TATAATATATATTATATGGATAGACCATGAAGTTCGAGAATATAAGTATACTATTTATCATATTTTAGTTGTGAACACACATCAATATTATAATACATAATTAGATGGAAAACGTTAAAAATAAAATTGAGTTTATATATATATTTATTTATTTATTTAAAATATTTACAATATTATCTTTAAAATATTTTTCCTTTTTTATTTTTTACATTATTTTGTAAATTGACAAATTACTGAAGAGTTACAAAAATATTGTCATTTTAAATAATGTGTACCATATTAAGTTTACAAAAAAAGTTTATTATATGTCTATATAATCTAGGATCTGATTATTTATTCAACCAGTAATTTATAGACCATTTTATAAAAGAATATATTTTTACTCTCTTATAAATATATATATATATATATATATGTGTATTAACATATATTTTTTTAACATTTGAAGTTTGAGAACATAATTTTTCATAATATAAGATATATTAAAATTGAACCATTGAATGTTATTAATTATTTCAATTGTTAATATTTTTAATATAAATATAAGAACCTAGATATAATATATAGATATATATTTAATTTATATATCTATGTTAATTGAACAAATAATATGTGGATGAAAGATAAGTAAAATATTTATACCACATTCCTTCTTTAATATTAATGTTTTTAATACTGTTTAAATATTTTAAAGATATGATATTATATTTTGCCTTTAATATACATATTGCATTTTATATAAAATTGTAACATAAAATAGGTTATAATAATTTTTAATTTTGTTATATATTATATACAATTGTTAAAATATATTTATTGAAATATTATAAAGAAATATCAAAATTAAAATATCAGAGAACATATTTATGTTAAAAGAAATAATTATATGAAAATTATAGATATAATTTACTGTTTTTCTTATTAAAAAAAATAAATAAATTATAATATATTATTAACTATTATGATAATAATTATATGTACATTTCATCAAGTATAATATATTTATTCATAACAATATATATATATATATATATATATATATAATATATATAATTACGAATATTATTAAATGTATTTGGCTTAATTTTTTTTTTTTTCTTCTTGTTCATTTTGTGTATGTAATGGATTATACACTATATATAAGAAAAAATGTGAAAATTTTATAAAATTTAAATGAATCAATTTTAGCATTAAAATGTTCATATTATTGCTTTTATCTTACATTGTCATTTTAATAATTTTTTATTAATTATTTTAAAGTTATATATATATATATATATTATATATTTATTTGTTTATATATATATATTATATATTTATTTGTTTATATATATATATTATATATTTATTTGTTTATATATATATATTACTCCTTTTATTTATTTTATTTTTCTTTTATATAAAATAGTGGTTTCTCTTTATTGTAATTATTATTTTTAATATTATAAGAATTGAAAAAAAAAAAGAAAAAAAAAAAGTTAAGAGTTTATCTTTTTATTTATAAGATATATTAATATTTTAAAAAATTATAAGACAATAAAGTACATATATTAAATTGAAAATTAAAAAAATAAAAATATATATTTTATATGTGTATATGTTTTAGAAGGATTATACTTATATGTAATAAAAAAATTTAAGTAACCTATTCTTTGTGCTCTTATACACACAAATAAGGGTTTTTTTTTATTTCCAGATAGATGCTTTGAATGTAAAGATAAATAAATATATATATATATATTAATGTGAATATAAAAAATATGTACTTAAAATTATTATATTAATAAATTAAAATAGGATATTATTATTATTATTATTTTTTTGTTAATATATTATAAAAATATATTTTTATTTTTGACGTGTTTTACTTATAAATATTGTATTCCTCATGATATATATTTTATATACATTTATAATTTTATTTTTCACTTGAATTATATATAAAAAATAAAATAATATTTAAATATAAATATATATATATATATATATATATATATATATATATATATATTTACATATAAATTGAATTTTTGATTAATTAATTTAAATTCTTTCAAATGTATAATTCTTATTGTTTTATTTATTATTTCTTTGATTTTTTATAGTGTTTTTGATTTTTGATTACTATTTTTGTTAAATATAATTTTATTATTTTATTTTATTTATTTATTTATTTATTTTAATATGTATAATTATTTTATAAAAAAAATTTTTTTTTGAAAAAAACATAAAAATCTTAATTTTCCAATTAATATGTTTTCATATGTATTATTTATTTTTATTTATCAAAGTAAAGTATATATATATTATAAAGAGAATATTATATCTATAATATATTTATAACTATATATATAATAACATGTAATTTGTTATGGTAATTTTATTTTGTTAAAGTTAAATAATAGAAGTTTTTATTTTTATATGAATTTTTATATTTTTTGGAAAATTATTGAAGTTTGTACAATTTACGACTAGCGAAAAGAAAAAAGCTAAATAAAATAATAACTAGCCATTTTAGATTTTATTAGCTATATGGCATTATTATTATAAATTATTAGGAGGCTACAGCTTCTATTTTTTTTTTTTATATCCACTTTAATGTAAAAATTTTGGGAAGTAAATTTACAAAAAATCATTAAGTTATGTGAGTTATAAAATTTAGTACCTATTTTTGATAACAGATATTCTTCCAAAAAGGATTAGTATTATCTAGGTGTAATATATAATATTATATGAATTACAAAAAAAAAAAAAATTAGCTGCTTTATATTTGTTGTTGTATTTTTAAGTTTTGGGTATAAATATTTTTAATTGAACACATGATTTGGATGTGTAGAATTAATTTAGTTATATTATTATAATGTATGAACTTTTCTTCATTAATATGTTTAGGATAGAATGGTAATACAGAGATATAACTATGTGAACTAATTTATTTTTTAATAATATTTATAAGAATTTATCAAGAAATATACGTATTATTTATTAAAATCATACTCGAGTTTCTCTAGTTTATTATGGATAGACGAAGCAAAATCTATTATTATTTTTCAGAACCAATAAAAACTATTAAATGAATACTATATCTTCTTTTTTTCATCTTTTTTTTTCATTTATTTTCATTTCTTTTCTGGTTTTTTTTTTTTTTCTTTTTTTTTTCAATAAAAAGGAAATTAAGGTTTCTCATAAAATAATTAGTTTTGGTATTTTATGCTATATGAATAATATTTTGTAAAAGTATATCTAGAAGATTTTATAGTTCTAATGATAGTATGAAATCGAATAAAACTATTTAAATATCATTGTTCACGATGAATACGTATAATGTTTGTATATATTTTATAAATGTTCATAATTATATGATGTAATTGAAATGAGGAAAGTGTTTTTTTTTTTTTTTTTTTTAATAATAAAAGAAGAATGAAGAAAAGAAATAAAAATGTTATAATTTTGCATAACATCAGTAAAACATTATGATATAATATTATATAATTAAATATATTATTTTGAAAAAAATATAATGTTATAATTCGGATGTATTTTATGTTAAAAATACAAAAGGTTTACTCAAATTATTCAGATAAAAGAAATATATTAAACTTTTTATATTCATAAATTTTTTTTTCTTTTTTTCAATTGATATATGTTCATATATTAGGGTGTAAATTTTAAAATATAATTATCATGAATTTAATATGGTAAATGGAATAACAAATATATATATATTTCATTTTTTTTTTTTTCTTCATATTTTATATAGATTTATGTATATATATATATAATTTTTTTTCTCCCTTCTTTTAAATTTTTATGCGTATTTATATAGGAACAAAGATTTTATAAATTTTGATATATATATAAAGGCATGGCATTAAATTTTGGTGCATATATCTCAGCATGGGATTACTTTAAAAATATGTTTTTATATAAAGTAAATGTTCTGAAACATAAAAGATTAGAAAAAATTATATCTCATTTTTAAATAAATAAATCCAATTGGTACTGTGCAAGGTCTTGTGAAGAAAGAGGAGGAATATCACAAATAGATCCAGTTTGTGTGTTTCGATGAAGTATTATAATATACAAAAAAAAAAAAAAAAAAATATAAAATATTTTCAATTTTTATTTTCTTTTTTAATTTTTTAATATTTAATTAATTCACTCTTTTGTTCATAAAATTTTCCTTTTTCATTAAAAATTTCTGTTCTTTTGGATTATTTGATGATAAGAAAGAAAATATTAATGAAATAAATAAATCAACATATAATATTGTAGAATTAATTATATAAACGTTGAGTATGGAATGATATACAGTATATGTGAAATATATGTATAATCAAAGGTTTTTATCCATAAAAAATAAAATATGGTTATTTTATATAATAAATTAATGTTTATACAGCTAAATGTTAAATTTATAATAAATATTCCATTAAATAGTATTTCCCCCTTTCCCTTTTATTCTGTGTAATAAATGTAACAATGAAGTGTTGATGATTACTTATAAATGTATAGAAAAGGTATTTCTGCAAATATATATATATGTATATATTTTGTTTTTATAGTAATTAAATATATTACACAATTATATAATATTTAGTTAAAAAGTATATATTGTGTATATATATCTCAATTTAGAGTTATAATATATATATTATGTAAGAATAAAACGAGGGGGGGGGTGAAATGTTATTGTGTATATAATAATTATTGTGTGAAATACATGATAATTAAAGTATATGTGAAAAAAAAAATTTTTTTTTTTTTATAGGTTTTACGCGCCTTTGAAGGTAGAGATGTAGTAAATATATTTTAATTGTTCAGTTTAATTACTGTTCAAGAGGATGAATATATAAAGATCTTTTATTTCGTAAGAAATATTAGGTTGAACTCTCTCTAAATTGATTTTATAATAATGAATGTGTACTAATTCATACTGTAGTACACATTTATTATTATGAAGTCATCTTTTGGAATGCTGTATGGTATATAAATTCCTTATAAGTATGTTATGAGCCTTTTAAGGTGGGGTGCATTACATATATTTGTATAAAGTATATAAATATATTTAGTTTTTTAAATAAAATGAATAATTTAATTTTTGTTTGTTTTATTTTTTAATCGAACTAAGATGCACTTTACAGTTTGAAGAATTATCTATATGGTAATATAAGTATTTATAATAAAGAGATGCGAACCTTTTTATCATTATATTATTAAATATATTGATATTAGGTAGTAGTATTCTCTATATTATAAATATCATTAACTAAAATGGAAAGCAGCGATTTGCTCCCCATGACTTATTAAAAGCCTCAAGGGTATAACGCACCAAGAGAGGTGAAGAATAACAACATTTGAGTTTTTTTATATTGAGAAAGTATAAACATTTCTAATATTAAACACACATATATATATGTATATATAGTGGTCTTTTTATCAAATTGTATGTTATTCTTCGAGCTGTTTGCGAATATAAATAATTTATTTTATATAATTTTATTTTTTTTTTTTTTCTTATATACAAATATTGAAGACATAAAAATGTATTATATTTTTAGTATATTTTTATGTGAAATTGCAATTAGTAGTATTAAGAAAAAAAAAATAAAAAAAAAATTAAAATTAATTATATATTAGTAGTATTCAACAAGAAGTCGGAGAATGTTCAATAAATAAATTGTTTTTGAGGTTTAACGTATACCTTGAAGTGTTTATATATATATATTATATATATATCAAAATAAATATATAATTTTATGATTGTATATTTATTTTGTGTATATTTTATATGTAAATATTTATTTGCGAATATAAATATTATTTACCTGCGAATATTGATAACATGTTTATTGTTTGTTATTTTTTCAGAAAATTATATAGTTAATTATTTGAAAAATTAGCAGATGATATTATGTTAATATAACAGTTAGTAGGAGTGTAATATAATATATATTAGTAGTAGTAAAGAAATTTCGGTAATGATGGTATAATTTCTTATAGTTTGTAATATGTACAGCTTAAGAATGGAAGAGTAAAAAAATGTATGATACCTTTTCTGTTTTGATCAGAACATCATATTATATATGATCCACTATATTATATTTTATTAAGTATAAGTAGTAGGATACCTCTTCTGACCACATTTAAAATCATTTATTTTAATATTGAACATTGCATTAGAAAAATAGAACGTTGTTCATTTTTCTTTAAACCTATATATACGTATATGTTATTGTATATATAATAAGTCATGTAGTTTTGATTAACTACGGGGAGGGTTAAAATACTTAGAAATATTATATTTGTTAGCATATTATACATATATATATGTGTGTGGATGGTACTATGGCGGAATTTATTGGTATCAAATAAAAATAAAAAAGACTACGTATATATATTTTATCACTGTTTTGTGCAGTGATATTATATATATAAATTCTCATGTATGCATTATTAGAAATGTAAAAATGAGGTGCGGGGTGTTCAAGCGCATGGGAAATGGTATATGGATAGGTGTCGATATGTATATGTTAAAGTATAACAAATTCTATCTTTAATTGTAATCAACTATGTGTTAGTGTAATTTCATTAACATTTTAGTTTATTATAATTAATTTTATTGAGTTTGTTATTACTTAACATTATCATAAATATATATATATATATATATATATATATCTGTTTTGATTTATATATGTATTTTATATATTTTGATTTGAAGACTCTTAATTTGATTATGAATTTTTGTATATATATAAAATCCTCAAGGGTTACAACGCACCAAGAGAGGTAGGGGAAAAACTGCATTTATGTTTTAAAAATTAAAGGAATTTATTTTTTATGACATTCTTTTTAGTCTTCAAAGAATTGTACGTTTTTCTCCGAGTTGTTTGCGAATATAAATAATTAATAATGTTTTCATTCTTTACGAACACTGCATAAATAAAAATGTATTAATGTTTTTATTATATGTTTATATGAAATTGCAGTTAGTAGTATATAATTATATATTAGTAGTATTCAACCAAGAAGTCGGTATATGCATTTATAAAAAAAATCCTTGAGAAGGTGTAACGCGACCTTACAAGGTAGAGAATTATGAAAAAGGAATTTATTTATTATTGTTGTTTAAATGTAAATATACACATTCCACTAATATCTCTTAGGATCTGATTGCGAATATAAATATTTTACCTGCGAATATTGATATCATGTTTATGTGTTATTTTTAAGATGCACATTTTGTTTTTATTAATTTTTGCGTATTCTTATTGAGCACACATATTCTTGATAATAGAACAGTTAGTAGGAGTGTAAAATATATATCAGTAGTAGTTAGAAAACGTCGGTTTTGTATGTATATAAATATGTAATATGCATATATAACATATATATGTAATATGTATATGTTATACGTATATATATAGGTTATTATACGTATGCACATATATGCTATACGTATGTATATATATATGCTATACGTATGTATATATATGCTATACGTATGTATATATATGCTATACGTATGTATATATATGCTGTACGTATGTATATATATGCTATGAGTATGTATATATATGCTATGAGTATGTATATATATGCTATGCGTATGTATATATATGCTATGAGTATGTATATATATGCTATGCGTATGTATATATATGCTATGCGTATGTATACATATGCTATACGTATGTATACATATGCTATACGTATGTATTTGTTATATGAATATTTTACAATTAAGTAGAATATGTCATATGACTTTTATTTTCAGGCTTAAAGATTGAGTGTTTCAGATTTACAGATTTAAGAAGATTAAAAAGATTTAGCTTTTATCTATCATATAGTTATAGTTAATTCTTTTGAAGATTGAGTATTCAGAACTATATATAACATTTTTTTTGTTATAAGAGAAAGGGATTATTTTTATTATCCACAGTAATTAAGGTTATTTAAATTGAATAATTTTTTAATTATTATTATAAGAAATAAAAAATAAAAAAATAAAAAGAAAAAGAAAAAAAAAAGAAAAAAAAGAAAAAAAGAAAAAGAAAAAAATAAAAAGAAAAAAATAAAAAGAAAAAAATAAAAAGAAAAAAATAAAAAGAAAAAAATAAAAAGAAAAAAAAAGAAGAAAAAAAAAAGGAACTTTTATATATATATAAATAATTTTTAATTTATGCATATACGTTTTTATATACATCCCATTTTATGCTTGTGTTTATATGTTGCATATAAAAAAAAAAAGTTAATTCGCCTAATGTGTAAAGAGGTTAATAAAATTTTATGTTTGATAATATTGTATTTTAAGTGCAAAATTAAAATATGATACATGAAATGTATGTTAGTATGAAATGTTGTATGAATAGTAATTGTATAATGGTATTATGTTATATATATTTATGTTTGAAAATAAAAAGAAATATATGTGTCTGTCTATATAAATAATTTATTGTTACATGAATGAATATATCATTATTAATAGCGTGAAATATATAATTAATAATTACATGAATAAATGTATTTTTTTATAAGTCTTAAATATATAATTAATAATTACATGAATAAATGTATTTTTTTATAAGTCTTAAATATATAATTAATAATTACATGAACAAATGTATTTTTTTATAAGTCTTAAATATATAATTAATAATTGCATGAATAAATGTATTTTTTTATAAGTCTTAAATATATAATTGATAATTACATGAATAAATGTATTTTTATAAGTCTTGAATATATAATTGATAATTACATGAATAAATATTTTTTAATAAGACGCAAATA